GAATAAAATTACGAATTATCATTTTATTAACAGTAGTACCGAAAGTTAGTCAGAAATTTCAAATTTCGATTATGAGTTATTCATTAGTGAATGGATAATAAGAATAGAAATAACATAGTAAAGAGATTTATAAGACAATTGTCCACTTTATATGTAATGAACACACTATGTGAAAATCGTTATTTGTGACAATTAGTGGGAAATTATTATAGATTAGATAACTTTTTGATCTATGATCTCAGATTGAATGAGAACCTAAGATCTAAGATTAATGGATTTCATACAATTAATCTAATTGCTCTTCACTAAAAATGTCCATAGCAGAGATTTGTAGAGAACTAAACCTGTAATGAACGTGAACACAGGTGGAGACAACCAAAAGTATTTGAATACAAAATTACAGAATATCTTCGTAAATATGAGGACCATGCAATGAATAATTCATATGCGATAATCTATCATTTTTCCATCATATTCTGTATGATTCTTCCATGTCACAATTCCTCGCTCTCTCAGTTTTTAGTTTTTTCTCCAAGTTGATCTTCTTAGACTTCTGTCGTCAGGGTTTTCACTTCCTGTTGGTGTTATATACTACTTATATCTGTCGATAAAAGTAGCATACACCAAAAACAAACCGACCACTTTGATCGATATGTATTCTATTCTGGAGACGACCACTCCAATATTGTTTCAATAATAGGTAAATAATGAAAATCACGTCGAAACTGAGTGACTTGTGAAAATTGATTATCTTAATATATATTTATATATTGAATTTAACTGAACTGGAACTTAGCATCAACGCTTTATGATTGATGTGCTATTCATTTATAAAAAAACACAAATGTTCTAGATATGTGAATAGTTAATTATTGTTATGTGTTTATTATTATTACTACTACTACTATTATTATTAATCACTTGATTGAACATTCAGTGTAAATTGTATTAAAACCAGTAGAAGTTTCATCTCATTAAAAATTAAGATGATTAAGGTAGATTTATCAATGTTTTAATCCTTTCGTTGCTATTGATAAAGTATGGAAATATCCATGATGAATAGCCTCAATATTGTTATTATATCATAGAGAATTTTAAGCAAATTTAAATGATGATCAGTAGTCGAATCTAGAACTCGTGTTTCCTCCAATTTTGAACTCGTCAGTTCAATGTACCTTTCACATCCTCGTGTTAGTGTTCACTCCATAATTCAAACTCAGTGTTTTTCACATAATTACAATGCCTTTGTTTCATTTAATTATGGGATAGTAGATAAAGTCACAATTTTTCAACCTCGTAAACATTTTAAATTCATTTCGTATTGTTTGAATTTTCCCTTACGGATTACCTTAAGTCCCAAGTATTATAAGTAAAGATGGACTGATCATAAATATTTGTTATCTGTAGTGGTGGTGTGAATGATAACTTACTTAATTACTTACTTACGCCTGTTACTCCCAATGGAGCATAGGCCGCTGACCAGCATTCTCCAACCCACTCTGTCCTGGACCTGTCTTCCGCCTTCTTTTCTAATTCCATCCAATTTTTGTTCATTTTTCTCATCTCTATCACCGGCGTAATGTGTTCTTCGGTCTTCCTCTCCTCCTTTGGCCTTGAGGATTCCATGTGAGGGCTTGTCTTGTGACGCAGTTGGGTGCTTTCCCCAGTGTGTATCCCATCCACTTCCAGCGCTTCTTCCTGATTTCTTCCTCCGCTGGGATCTGGTTTGTTCTCTCCCACAATACGTTGTTGCTAATAGTGTCCGGCCAACGGATATGAAGTATTTTGTGTAGACAACTGTTAATAAACACCTGTATCTTATGGATGATTGCTTTCGTAGTTCTCCAGGTTTCCACCCCATACAGTAGAACTGTCTTGACATTTGTATTGAAAATGCTGACCTTAGGTGTTGGTTGACAGATAGTTGTTTTGAGTTCCAGACGTTCTTCAGCTGTAAATATGCTGCTCTTGTTTTACCAACTGGTGCCTTCACATCTGCATCAGATCCACCATGTTTATCAATGATGCTGCCCAAATATGTAAAAGTTTTAAATCCTCAAAATCTTCTCCGTCAATTGTGATTGGATTGGTGCATGCTGTGTTGTTTCAGAGAACCTTGCTTTCCCTTTGTGTATATTGAAGCTTACTGCTGATGAGGCTGCTGCTACACTGGTTGTCTTCTCCTGCATTTGTTGTTGCGATTGAGATAGAAGAGCCAGATCATCTGCAACCTTGCCTGACACCGGTCTTTACTTCGAACGAGTCTGTCAATTGTCCTCCATGCACAATTTTGCAGTTTAATCCATCATAGGAATTCCGTATGTTATTGACTATCTTCTGAGGCACGCCGTAATATCGAAGAAGCATCTATAGTGTTGTTCTGTGAATGATAAACAACGTTCTAAATAAAAATATAAATAAATGAACATCAAATGAAAAAAAATCCTTTTCCTTTATTCACATACAATCGATTATGTCGTGTATTTTTTTCTTGTTGAAAAAAATCTGTCACTAAATAATATTTAAGAAATTTATTTGATTTGAGCGATAAATAAAAACAAGTTATAATTACTAGGGATTTTTTCCCCCAATATTATTGTAACAATAGTTTATTTAAATGAGAAATATGAGTAGTATATAAAACATCTGATTAAATTTGAGTTCATTTTCTCATTGACACAAGATTACATTGTATTTTATTGTTTAGACTCAAATTAAACACAAATTGAGATAATTAACTCAAAAAAACCATATGTTTTATTAAAATTTATAATTTCCATAAATAAATAAATAAATATTAATATATTTGCCTATAGGGTATGTTTTGAAAATAGGAAGATTTTCAAAAAACAGTTAACAGCTAATTTACGCTCATTTTTGAATATTCTATACCCTAACGACAATTAATCTACACTTTTAAATTTCAGTAATAACAAACTTGTTATTGACGTTTATTATACTATTTGATGATTGTTGAATTGAAAATATAATAAAGAAATAATACAGATGTGACGAGGAAGTTTTTGACATTGTCAATCGATATTGGCCTTAATTAACATAGAAATGAGATAATGATGTGTGTCAGTAAATTTTCAGATTAGTTTTTAAACCAAACACATAGTTAATAGAGGTCAAGATGTTTCTTTATCTAATTCACATTAGTTTTCTTATCTTTATGATGCACAGAAAAATAAATTGATTCAAAATGTATTTGTATTTCTTTTTTTTTTGTTACAATGATTATTGTTTGTTCACAGTACATCATTCATTAAATATTGATTGATGGTCTTTACATTATATATACATTACAAGTCTTTACACTTGTATATATATATTTGCACAGACATTGACATCATACTAACAGGATTTCAGGATGTCATAGTGATAGCAAGGATTTTATTTCATCGTCTTGAGACATCGGTATCAGTGGCTCTGGTATGTTTGACAAATGTTATCCCTGAACCATTTATACTTGACAACTTTAGGAAACATGAAGAAGTGTTTATATTGGTAGTAAATCACCCTTGTATTAGAGACTGTTAGTGATCTTCAGCTGGATATTAACGACGAGATAATTCCAAGAAATGTACATGGAAGGGAGTGATACTGAGTTCGATTCACGAAGTGGATACCAACTCTAAGATGCAGGTAGATCCAGAAGATGAGTCACAACCACTGCTAGTCACTTTCCATTTATTCTAGACTTGCTTGTGTCATAATTGGCTATTTCAAAGCAATTAACACTGGATGCACATAAGTGAACCAAGACTGATCAAACTTCAGACTAATTGCTTGGAGTCAGTTACAGAATGGAATGTGACTGATATATTTATCATTTTAATCAACCTTGAATTGTGTTTCTTTAGTGAAAATCTTTAAGAAAATAACAATATTTTACTAAATAGGAGAAAAATACTGTTATCTCACTTCTCACCCCACCCCATTTTATTTACAATATAATAATCTACACAAAAATTTGTAGAGATTCCAGTTAACTATTGTTTCTATGTTTGTTAGTCAGTGAATAATAAATATGGTTGATAAATAAATTTTTCTGTAGACTGTTTATTCCATATTATATACACAGTCTTACAGAACATTGATTAAACTATAAACCTTGGCTTTTCTTACCCCTGTATTTTTTTCCTTTTTTCACAATATTTCACTCTAGAAATATAAATAAGGGTAAATTAACAACAACATCATGTATGTCGTTGTGATGACGATGGTGGTGGCAGGATGATGAAGGGGTGTGAGACATTTCAGTGTAAATACTGAGGATTATTTGATAACAATATACAAAATAGAAAAAAATGTAGGAATTTACACGACTTAATTAGAATATTTTGAAAAAAAAGAAGAAATAAGTAATTAAATCGATTTTACCAAACGTTTTCAAACAAACATACACACACCCCACCAATAAATTAGACAAAAATGTATAAAAACGGAAGAGAAATGAATTACTAGTAGAGCAACAAAAACAAACTGCCTGTATAAGGAAAGTAGAAAGAAATTGTGAAGTGAATCCTTCGTTGTATTAACTGCTATATACGAAGATTATTTCAGAATTTTTAAATAAAAAGATGGGTAACATTCGAAACCCTATATTACTAATTTTTATTTTCAATCATCAAATTGTTTTAATGTCATGCTTGTGTTATCTCTGATTGGTGTCATTTGCTTTCGTAATGTAAGTGTATTCTATGTATGTTGTTATCTCAGTTTTACTATTGTTCCTTTCTCATCCAAATTCTCTAATGTACCACCCTTCACAACTTCCATGCTAGCATACAAGATACTTTGGGGTTCAATGGAAATCTATCAAAAGTTGAACATTAAAAGAATAAAAGATAACATCGAACATGACAATAGTTGAAACCTCGTAGATTACAAAGATTTCGTGTTAGTTAATATTTGTGATTAGCTAGTACATAAAATCGTAAGGTACCTGGTATCTTTTTGCATGACTCAGAATCTAATGAAATTTATTATCTCAGATGGAGTATTTATCAAAGGGGCAACAAATTCACGTCATTCATAAAGAGAGAAAAATGAAGTAAGTAAGTAAGTAAGTAAGTAAGTAAGTAAGTAAGTAAGTAAGTAAGTAAGTAAGTAAGTAAGTAAGTAAGTAAGTAAGTAAGTAAGTAAGTAAGTAAGTAAGTAAGTAAGTAAGTAAGTAAGTAAGTAAGTAAGTAAGTAAGTAAGTAAGTAAGTAAGTAAGTAAGTAAGTAAGTAAGTAAGTAAGTAAGTAAGTAAGTAAGTAAGTAAGTAAGTAAGTAAGTAAGTAAGTAAGTAAGTAAGTAAGTAAGTAAGTAAGTAAGTAAGTAAGTAAGTAAGTAAGTAAGTAAGTAAGTAAGTAAGTAAGTAAGTAAGTAAGTAAGTAAGTAAGTAAGTAAGTAAGTAAGTAAGTAAGTAAGTAAGTAAGTAAGTAAGTAAGTAAGTAAGTAAGTAAGTAAGTAAGTAAGTAAGTAAGTAAGTAAGTAAGTAAGTAAGTAAGTAAGTAAGTAAGTAAGTAAGTAAGTAAGTAAGTAAGTAAGTAAGTAAGTAAGTAAGTAAGTAAGTAAGTAAGTAAGTAAGTAAGTAAGTAAGTAAGTAAGTAAGTAAGTAAGTAAGTAAGTAAGTAAGTAAGTAAGTAAGTAAGTAAGTAAGTAAGTAAGTAAGTAAGTAAGTAAGTAAGTAAGTAAGTAAGTAAGTAAGTAAGTAAGTAAGTAAGTAAGTAAGTAAGTAAGTAAGTAAGTAAGTGATCTTGTATATATAAACTAATCTATGAACATAGAATATCTTAATCAGTCGCTGTTTGATAAAACATACACAAATGAATATAACCAATAATCAAATGAAAACAACACAAACAACTGATTATCTACAAATGTGAATTTCACCATTTTCATGTTTAATGTTCAATTATTATATTCATCTATTAATTTTTATAAAAGAGAAACGTGTTTACTATCGGATTATGAATACTTTATCATTTCTATTCATGATTATTGATTACATTCAAACATTTAGACTGATTAATGAAATGTGTTATCTTTGTATGTTCGTTATTTAGTTAGTTAGTTAGTTAGATTCATGTGCAAATTGATTTCGTTTTTTTGTTCTTAATATGAAAAATAATGTAAAATTTTAACTAATATAGATAGATATATGTGTATATACACAGGAAGTGTGTACATGCACATTCACATTCACACACACATATATATATGTATATATGTATGGATATACATACAAATTTAATCCTTGATTTGAATTTCATTTCAGCTTATAGTTGAAATTCCCTTACCATTAATTATTTACTATTGAAACTTTTTAATTAATTAATTAATTCAAACAAATAAGATAATAAAATAATTTTCTATATTAAGGAGAGAGTTATTTTTAGGAAAAATGACAAGGTATACAATCAGTGGGTAATGAACACGTGACCACTATAGAAATATTCACTCACTTACTAAAGATATATATATATATATATATATATATATATATATATAATATTGTCTTACATTTCACTCAGGCAGGGTGGTGATGGTAGGATTATATAAACTTTAGTTGAACTGAAAAAAAACAAACATGATGAGAGTCTCATTGAAGATTACATCATTTTATCTAATGTGGAATATATCATATCTGTGATTAAACATGCGGACAAAATCAAATTAACTTAATGAAATTAAAGCATAGCATACATATATGATTTTTAAATATGATTGTATTACATAATGTATTTTTTTGTTTTGTTTAATGATTGAAATGTTATTTTTATGGTTTTAAATCACGAACTGATAACAGCTAGATCATTACTGAAAACCTGAGAAAACTGGACTATCGTTTCATATTGGATTGGGACTGCTCTTCCTGTACTATATCCTTATTGCAATCTTTCTTTTATATATTACCACCTCTGAATTAACTACTTTTATGAATCCGGTGTCCATTTTGTTGTGTTAATGAGGTATGGCAACTTGGACCGATGCATATATGTGCCTGGTCCTACGTTGTAGCTGACTGACTAACTGGCTCAACATTACTGATTCACGATCTCTTATCCAAGAATCATACTCAAAACCTTCGGTCTTATGGATGAACGCTTAACATTTAGACTATTGAACCGGACTTCAGTGCTGTTAATGTCAAACTTCAAGCAATAAACGATATTGTGGAACACTACTGGTTTATCAGGGTTGAATAACTGTCTCACATAAAACATGTTTGTACTTGAACGGTCATGGCCTCTTCCTAGTACTCCTGAAGGCTAGAACATTGCTTTAACGATTAAGTGTTCTGACACCAGACTGAAGGTTCTAAGTTCAACTCCAAGATAAAGGACCATGGATATGGACTGTTGTGAAGTGTCATGCTAGGACGAAACGATAAACCAATGCTCCCATGTTTTTAATTATCTCATAACTAAGATGGATTCATTAATTGAACTACGGAAATTCTAGAATTTTTTTCAAATTCTATTGTATACTGAATTTTTATATGCGTTCATTTAAATCCTGATAAGATTACATGCTTTCAATCAAATAATAATTCTGATAATGGGTTTAAATATTACCGCAAGATGATAATGTTGCAACTAGACTTAGCGACAGTTTACTTAGTCTCACTTCAGACCACAAGATCTTTGTATTCAATGAATTGATAATAATTAAATGATATAAATAAGAACTTTCGTCTAAATTTGAACGAATAGTTTCACAATTGGTAATTTTACATTGATTCTTGTTTTCTACAACTTAAATGTCACCTTAATATAAATTGTATTCAATTACTGCAAAAACTTCATCTTCTTAAGCGGAAATCTAAAAATTGTAATTTGTTGATTTAACTGTGGAAACTAGAAAATTTTATTATAAGTGAATATTTTTTTCTAAGATAAATATTTAAGAAACTTGGCGCCAGTCTTCATTTTACATTATGAAATAGTAAATGAATTGTGTAAATTTGAATCGATTTCACACAATTTCTACTCTCTTCTATAAGTAGGTATTTTGGTTTAGTCATTTGTCATGAACTAATATTTAAAGGTTACATGGTATTTGGTATTGATCTGTATAACGCATCCATAACTATGTGGAAAATGGGGAGCTTTTCAATTTACGACTAGTCTCTTGATAGATAAAATTATTATTTAATCAAATTAGTTACAGGTACTAAAAATGACCACATTATCACATTTCAAATACTGACCGAATACTATTCATCATATTTATATTATGGTGTAGCACATTCAAAACATTCTAGTATCAGTGATCAGGATGTCTTAATTTCTCATAATTTTAATGTAAGTACATTTATTGAGCTAACAGAGTAATTGATCGACAGTGTTTTATTCGCCAAATAATCACATAAGCTGCTCTTCACACTTCCGCATCGTCTGACACATATAATGTTCCTACTTGATAGACTCAAAACTAATGGAGGTTATATGTTACAATATGGTCACCCATGGAAGGTTTCTATAGATTATTTCTATTTTCAGTAGGGATAAGACAAGATAATAATGTTCATACTTCAATTCTAGACAGAAAATCATCCAGTCACTACATTTAAAATAACTAAATAATCGATCGATCGATTGAGATAGGCGTCATACGCTGAAGAAATTCAAGTAATTATATTTAAGGTTGTAAATGATAGATGTGGCTTTGTTGTTTGTCTTTGCTGATATTCATAAACTCGAACTTCATGATCAGTTTGTGTTACTTTTATGAACATTACAAAGGCCTTTACACTAGTTAAACAATATATTTTTTAATTGTACTCACTAGCTCATTGGTGGTGAATTAAGTATCTAAAATATGTTTGAGTCCCAATATAGACTATAACACTAGGATGTAGTTGTTTGTACCTGACGAGTCTCAAATAGGACAAAACATGAGTTTAACATTCTACTGTTAGTCACACTAAATCATACTGAAATTTGGTGTTTTAAGGTATCGAGAAATCTGAATTTATCCTGTAGCAATTTATATACATATATACATAATCTATCTGTCAACATTTAACACATTAGTTACAAATATTATTACTGTTTCCATGATACTAATCTCATTTCAATTTGTAAAATACCATATATTCAATCTATCAACAAATCAATCAATCCATAATGAATAGTTGGAATGAAAAAAACTATTATGAAAAACTTCAACATTGTGTAATTGCCTCCAGCCAGTAATATTTCAGTTAGTTAATAAATTTTTATTAAATAAGGCTAGCAACAATGATTGATTCTTTGATATAAATATATATATGTAAAATTGATAGTGATTGACACAAATCGGTGAAGCAACAACAACGAAAAAAATATTAAATTAACACAGATCATGTAATTGAATGACAATAATGGTTTGCATAGAACAGGTCAGTGCTATGGCCGACATGATAACATGACAATATTGGTTACTTATTTATTTACTTGCTTACTGATTTGCAGAATAGTGTAAAACATTTTATTTGTAAATACAGTGAATTAAGTTCACAAGTGTATACCAACAATGTATATAACGATGAATGTTTTAAATCCCAAAGAAAAGCTTCATCATTAATTTAAGTAGAATCGATCTTTTTTATTTGTAAGTGTTAATCAATTATTGGTTGATCACTTCCAATTAACTAAATTATTCAGAATATAACTGAGTATGAGATGGTTGAAGGTAGTTATTAGGAGACCCTGAACTCAGGTAACATGATAATTGGTACTCGTCTACAAGGTGTACTTACAATCTTCGGACGACTAACAATTCCTGGCCGATTTAAACCCGTGTCATCCTGGAAAGGTCACAGACTATTAATTTCATCTGAATATCATAAACAGTAACAGTTAATCCAAGGTTGCATATACACTTTGCTAATGAATGCTAACTAGGATAAAGCCTGGGTAGAAAATAGTAATGCATTCGATTTTGAATCGCATACATTATTTATATTGCAAAATATAAAAAAGAAACTACTCAAACCCAAAAGGTTTAAGTAGACAAGACAATGAACACTACTTACTTATACTATGTCATCTAATTTTCATTGAAGTCCTTATTTAAAATGAAAGGGAAGTCTCAACAATTATTAAATATACCCACATATTTGATATAATGTTGTTTTAAATGAACCACTCAATAGTTCAAGATATTAAAGATCAATTTATTATCAAAATTATTAGAATGGGGACTTGTGAAGAATGTAGTAATTTTAACAGTTGAATTCATGAATCACTCTGAGTGCACTGCCGAAAAGTCCCATATTCGGACGAAACGGTCGTCCAGTGCTTCTAGGCTTTCAGCGGTGATCTAGCTTAAGTCAACTCATGAATTCGATTTTTTTTAATTGCTGTAATTATCATCATTGTTATTAAAAATGGTGGTTGTAGTACCAACAGCAATACCACTGATAATAATAATTGTAGCGCATTTTTGGAGATTTTTCAACCTCTGAAAATAAGATGACATAAGACAACTGTTTTCTTCTTGTATCTTGGAGATCAATTGAAATATCCTATCGTAATAAAAGTTGTCAGGTAAATAACTGCTAGAGGAAACTCCCTAAGTTGCAGTGTAAAATTTTTATCAGTGGAATTTAATTATGACAGATGTCAGTCAATTATCATTGTCAATGACGGTATGTGACTGTTAAGTAGTTAAAATTAGAAGTGTAAACTTTTATTTGCCAATTTAGCCGTCTGAAGCTTTAGAGCTCATTGCAAGATTTGTATGTCTTGCGTTTGGCTTCGGACGGATTCGGATATATCCACCATAATACTATGATGAAGCCCAACTGCTTCCTTGTGGTAGTTAACGCTCATTTTTTTTAGTACAGTTGAATAATGACTAGTAATGAAGTCTAGGACGTATGCTTCAACCTATCTGATACTCGTCAGTCGGATATAACTGCCACATCTGTATGTTGACATTCACATCACGACTCAAACCTCATACTTTTGACTTTAGATATCCTAATCCTATCATTCTTCGAGTTATTGGATCCACGCAACAAATGGTGTATGCAATGGAGGTAAGTCGAACTTGTAAGTGTTCGTATATTTCCGTTAACAATAACAATAAGTGTCGTAATCGCCAAACTTTACTGGTCAATTACAGTTTGTAACATCAACCAGAAAGATACAAAAACAAAAAATTAAAATGTTATTTGTTTTGTTTCCGACCCAGACTTACTCATCGTTAAGGTGACAATTTAAACATCAAGTTACTTAGTTGAACACAAATAATCAATATTACAGTCATCATTATTTTGAAAGATGAATTTTAGTTTGTTACTAGCATTATATTATAGTTCTTGATCGATAATCACAATGTCTGCATGTCACCTACTGAGTTCAAGATTATCCAGTCTTATCAACACGTAACCATAGTAACACAGAATGGTGATCAGCTTAACTTTTTGGAAAAAAGAGTATGATTTTCAATACTCTATAATGAGATAATAATAACGATAATAATAATAATAATAATAATAATAATAATAATAATACGTCAACAAAAAAATTTCAAACGGAATAGTTTGTTACGTGTTGTAGAAAATAAATAGATTATTAGTATCAGTAGAAAATGAAACTACTATTTTAACCTAATTCTAACTTGTCCAATAAATATAATTGAATGTTAGTGTGTTGATATTTACACAGGGATTCGAGCACAGAAACTTTCCACCTCAAATGTTCAGTTTAATCTCAACTATTTGCGATGACAATATAGAATAATATACGGTTAGTATTATAGTGAATTACAAATTGAAATGATTTATATTGCGGACTGATTCGTCATACATTGACCAAGGTTTTGTCAATAGGTTGTACTGAAAATATCATTCGAACATTGGAGATTTAAACAACAGAGCTAATACTGTCGTTAATTAAATGATATTTCTGTTTGAATTTTTGTGATCTAGATAACTTTAACCACTCTACGAAGTTGCACCACTGTACACCACTGTCATCAGTGAGTTGATATGTCACAACTGACCTGGTTGATGTTATTGGTTAGTTAGACATTAACAACCTTGGATGCCGACTCAGTGGTCTAGTTGGTTAAGCGCCTGGCTCGAGACTGACAGTGCCTGGGTTCGAGTCTCGCGGGGTGAAGGGTGGTGGATGCGCACTACTGAAGAGTTCCATGCTAGGACGAAACGGCCGTCCGAGGCTTCCAGGTTTTCCATGGTGGGCTAGCTTCAATTCACTCATGATTTCAATTAGTGAGATTATCAATATATTGAGTAGATGATTTTACAAGAAAGATTTATCTTCAATGACTATTTTCTTATTAAATAATTCAAAATATTGAGTTAGATATTAACACTGTTTAATACCAGTTCAGTGGTCTAGAGGTTCAACATTTATGACCGAGACCGGAAGTCTTAGGTTCTAGTCAGGCATGCGAGATCGTGGACGCGCATTATTGAGGAGTCCATTCTAGAACGAAACGGCCGTTCAGTGCTTCAATGTTTTCCATGGTGGTCTAACATTGATCGATTAATTAACTCAATTAAAATTCAAAAATGTCCACAAACCTACACTGATAATAAAACTTATACCATTAGTTGTAAAATAAGCTAAGAGTTAACGTTCTTTTTTTAATCAGTCAACCTAAGCTAGACCATCATTGAAAGCATAGAAGCACTGTTTGACGGCTGATTTGTCACAGTATAGGATTCCTCAAAAGCGCCTGTCCATGATTCTACACATGGGACTCGAATCCACGACCTTCGGTTTCGCGCGAGAACGCTTAGATTCTAGACCATTAAGCTGGCATCTAACAGTGTTAATAGTTAAATTCAACCCTTCATCTATTATCTGTGGTTGATAACTGTCTCAAATCCGACACAGATTGGACTCCACTGATCACGGCTTATCGCTAGAACTTCAGGAAAATCAGGAAATCGACTCATGAATTCAACTGTTAAAATTCTACAATCTCCACAAATCCCCGTGCCTACATTTGCATTTAAACTATGATGTCATTAAAATAGAAATTATAGGCAATATTCTCTTTAGGTAATGTAAAATAATTTGATGCTGGTTTTTATGTTTCACCAAAACTTCACACAAATGTGTAATGAGATAAATGTAAACAGATATAATCACTTTCATGTCTAATCGTGAGTATATCGAAGTCGAAATTCAAGTCAGAACACTACACACACTAATACCATTACTACTACTACTACTACTACTACTACTACTACTACTACTACTACTACTACTACTACTACTACTACTACTACTACTACTACTACTACTACTACTACTACTACTACTACTACTACTACTACTACTACTACTACTACTACTACTACTACTACTACTACTACTACTACTACTACTACTACTACTACTACTACTACTACTACTACTACTACTACTACTACTACTACTACTACTACTACTACTACTACTACTACTACTACTACTACTACTACTACTACTACTACTACTACTACTACTACTACTACTACTACTACTACTACTACTACTACTACTACTACTACTACTACTACTACTACTACTACTACTACTACTACTACTACTACTACTACTACTACTACTACTACTACTACTACTACTACTACTACTACTACTACTACTACTACTACTACTACTACTACTACTACTACTACTACTACTACTACTACTACTACTACTACTACTACTACTACTACTACTACTACTACTACTACTACTACTACTTACAGTACTACTCCTAAAACAACTTCACAATGCTGTCTAATTACATTCCGTATGTTCTTATGGATAGGTCGAAATACTCTATTTACTCTCTCCACCCTCCATCTACAATAAATTTCTTATTAACCATCTTCTTTTAGGAAGAAAATAAACGTGGTTTACGGTATATGTTTTTCTGGTTGAAAAATTTGTTTACCTAAACACTCATTTGATTAGCTTGGTTACTGACTTTCATTTTATTGTAGATATACTGATTAAAGAAAAAATAGTGTTACTAACTTATACATATGCATAGGGTGGGTAGTTTTGGTCATATTTTTTCCACTCCAGTGTACCCATATCTTTTATTTTATTAATCTTTACTGTCCGTTTTTGAGGCAACCCTAAAGAGAGAAAGATTTCACTGGATTACTCCTAAAAAATTACCATCATTATTCCCCACCATCGATAAATAAATAAATATGTGATTTAATGTATCCTGTTCTTAATTTCTGTGTTTACTAAATTTGTTTACTGTAGTCCCATTTATATCGTTAGACCCCTTCTTAACGTACACACACTGACATGTTAAGTCATTCAAAAACTGACGCGCATACAAACAGATAAATATTTAGTGTATACAAACACATTAATTACTCTTCAATATATGTAAAAAAATTATTTTCATCACTTAACCTACAGGAACACACAGACACAGTTCATTTCAAGAGAATAGAAAGTTTATCATGGGAATGAATTTCATGCTCTCTACATTCTATACCAATTTGATATTGCATATTTAGAAGCCATGTTTAGTTTTCATTCCTGAGCCTGAGGTTATTCATCATACAATGACCCATTTGAATTTTGTTAGGCAGTGAGGGATAGAAATAAAGATGACTATTTGTTCATTCATTCATATTATTTATAAGTAACGATAAATCCTTTATTCCTAACTTCCTTTCTCCACTTTTGGATTATTTTACAGCAAAATGTTTAACTCCCTTTGATGAACAACTTTTTGGATTCATTTATTTTCATTAGATAGATACACTTCGTTAGTTTATTTATCTACTTTGGATTCATTTGAAAAATCCCCATATGTAATGATGTGTCTATTGTGCATATTTGTTCGTTTGTTGTATGGGAGAGTAATCATATAAAAATAAGTGAATACTTCCTAAAATCAATGTTTATGACATACTACTTATTAGTAATTGTTCAATAAAAAACACGTTTAATTTAATTCAATTTTTGATGATTAAACAAATTAAAAGACAGTAAGATCATGATTTAGTAAGAGTGATATTTCCTCTGGAATTCAAATACATTCCTCTACTTACTTTTTTCAAAGAATAAGTAATCGCAGTAACCAACTCAATTTAAAGCAAATCATGGATACCAGTATCTTTTAAATCAAATAGATAACATATGCTGCAGTGACTAATTAAAGTTTTGATTATATTTTATAAAGCAAGGCATCATGGATAGTTTTGAATAACTCACAGAGACACATTCTCTTGTCTCTGTACAGTTTCACAGAAATTATTAGAGCATTATTGTTGTTGATATGAAATTCTTACAAAATATATATTTTGATTGGATAGTTTCGTAAAAATTCCATATCATATATTAACATCGTCACATTAGATTGAGAACTGACTGAAATAGGTAAATAGGCATTTAGTTTATCCTAGATAAATGATTTGAAAGTGAAGTTTACAGAGGGGAATAGTATCATTTGAAATTGGTCTACGAGAGTCTTGAACTTCTTATCTTCCAATAGTTTACCCACAAATGTCAGATCGTGATAGACGATCCTACGTTTCAGCTGATTACGATCGAGACCACTAAACGACAATAAATTAGAAACTAGGTAATAGTGGACAGCTGTTTCGTCATATCAAAGGACTTCTTAGTACAACGTATCTATTATCCTATCAGGGATTGAACTCAGAACTTTGTTGATGTAAATACTTAGAATTTTTAGAAACTAAACCAGTATCCAGTAGTTCACTTATCAATCTTCAATAATTCGTGATACTGAGAATTGTTTGAAAATAGAAAAAATTCACATATATCTGTAATTATTACTGAAGTGAGTTTACATGACGTAATTTTAAAAAGAAAAACGTATTTCGATTATAAAGTCTTATTTGTATAGTTTAAATACAAATAACTAAGTAAGTATTTGAACATTTTCCAATAGGGAAATGTACTACTCACAGTCGGAGTGTTGACCTTGACTTATCCATAATTCTTACAGGTCAGCTGAAGTAGAATAAACCATGAAAAAAGACATTCAGACATTTACTAAAAACGACTTGTCTAAAAATATTTTATTTTACTACATTTGTATGAATAAATTTTATATTCCCACTGAAAAACAATGGACAAGGTTTAACATCACTGCTTTTAATGATCTACAATTCCCACTGGGCATCTTAATCAGATCTTTAAGCAGATACGCGCACACATAATAATGGATATATATATATATATACAGAAGATAGAATATTTGTCTCTCTAATATGGTGTGCGCAGCTCTCTTATATGTTTTGCCTTTCTATTTATCAGTTATGCCTTCACACCCATCGTTAGCATGATAATACACTTTTAACACGAACACTAAGTCATACAATGTAGTTCATACATGATTAGAACACTTGTAGTCTTCTTTATCTTAACTAACATTGTATGTGTACTGCTGTGAAAAACGCTAGACGCGCATGGTTTTCATCAGATACATTCACAAAAATTCCACCCCCCTTCATTTTTGTTTCACTCACAGCTTTATTCCATGTTAAACAGACCTTAACATTATTTTACTATTATTATGAATATTGTTAAAAATTATATTTGCTTTCCAAGTTTGTCTATGACGTTTTTCTCTACAATGCATATATGTCATGTATGTATATATTTCAACTCTGTAAAAAAATGGCGTCCACCATCCCCCCTCGTTTCACAATTTATATTTTATATATATATATATATATAAATGAGAGCCGAGAAACCATTCTGACTTTCTACCCCCATATTATGCAGCGGTCCAATCGGGCCATAGAAAATTTATCGATCGACTAATATTCAAAATCATGCGCTGTCATCTAAGCGTTAGACTATTTTAAGCCTTTACCGGTCGTAGGCATAGCTAAAGTAAAATAATTTGTAGACCATGACAACAAGACTATCATCTGTCTAGTAAGTAGACTGTAGGTTAACTTTTCATGTGCAATAATATCTATTGGGCATCGGTTGTTTATCAACGAAGCGTTTTTTTTAATGTCTCTGTGTTTGTATGTATAATTTTGTTTTGGATTATTCAGAGATATGGTGCACACAGACAAAGAATTATATTTTTAATGACTATCTATCGATCGATGGGCCGTCTGACCTTGTATTATCTGACCTAGTCAGACCAGCCTGAATGGCTAAAAAGAAACAACAAAACTAAGCTTACCATAACATTATCAGTATTAATCAAGTAATCGAATAGTTGAGAAAAATAGGTCGTTACGCCCTACGTTTAAATTATTTTAGATTTAAAGGTTCAAAAATAGATTTTATGCGGGCAAATGTTTATGATTTGCGGAATTGGAGATGTAGATTATAAGCTAACCGGACTAAAAAAGATGTACGTTTAAGAGTATTTTTAAAACAAATACGCATGAGAATGAGTAGTCACCTAACCAAACAGCATTCTTGTTGACATCTAAATTTTATGTCCAATTATTTTATGGCTTCTGCGATGGGTGTAAATCTAAAAGTTGAGTTAGTCTCATTATTGATGTTAGAGTTCAGTCCCCATTGTCGTATGTGGATCATGAGCTGACCGTAGTGATAGTTCCCAAATGATCATAAGTTTCTTTTATTAGAGGTGTATATTGGGTAATCTGCAAAACCCAACGTGTGTTTCGTCTGAATTCACATTCATTAGTCGTAAATTCTTGAATCCTTGTGTTTAACATTCGTACTGTTGGGAACGTGAATACGGGTAGGGATACAAAATTACAGAGTTTTTTCGTAAAATGTGAAAACCATACATTCCATATATCATTTGCAAATCCTACATCATGTTTCTTCCACATTTTGCATGATTCTTCCACATCACAATCCCTTTCTATTTTCTCCTTACTCTTCTGCCTTGCATTCCACTTCTGATTGGTGTTATATACTACTTATGTCGACATAGTTAGCATACACCACAGTTCCAAGCTTTGTAGCTAATACATATCAGTTCAAAGATCAACTCTTCTCAACGAGTATAGAATCGTTTATAGTTGCTTTCTTTCTTCCGTTGTTTATACTGAGGATTGTAAATCGATCAGTCACTCACTACTATTTTTCATAACGTTTAAAGTCTATAATTAATCTTGTCCATTATCATTTGTATTATATTTAGAGTTTGGTTCTTTTGAATATAACTTACAAATTTCATTGATTGTTATACTATCACTGAGCTCTTTTACTTATTTTTAGCATGGTAAATCATCTCTTCCAATGATAGCTTATTTTACTTGTAATCACACAAAATACATCAATTATCTGATGTGGTATTGTGAGTATGCTAACTGAATATGTATGGAGTGCTGTACCATACAATTATAGGTTCTTTGAATCAAGATTTCAAAATGTGACGAATTAAAACTAGAAATACTAAAGTTTTGCGTTTTATTGATATACATTTGTGTTGTGGTAATGAAATTTACCAGTCAGTTCGTTTACCATTGAAAGAATAGTTTTTCGAGGTTGTGTAATAAAGTAACACATGGAATAAAAATGTCAGTGCTTATGATTATATAGAAGACAAAGAAGGAATTCATCAGTGTCATCTACTATCAATGAAGAATAAGGAACTTATTTAATTATTTACAAACTGTATGTACTGCATTCTCCTGCTTCTTACCTTAAAATGAAGATAAAAAAATATTGTAGTTATACGTATACTGTACGCATTTACAAATGATTGATCATCTAATAGTGATCACGTTTGTTTAATGTATAGTGTTAATAGAATTCTATAGATGTCCACTAGTCTATGTGACTCGTTAATCTATGTATATGTGACATTCAAGGTTATATCAGGACTGCAAAATAAAGTAAAATACACCTTTCTATCTAGTTACGCAGAT